CCTCCTGTGAGAGGCATGGTCCATCAGCAACGTCGAGAGAGACAGAGACAGAGAGAGAGACAGAGACAGAGACAGAGACAGAGACAGAGAGAGAGACAGAGAGAGAGACAGAGAGAGAGAGAGAGAGAAAGAGATTACAAAATGCAGGGGAAGAGCTTTCTTTCTGCGTCCGCATCAAATCACTTCAATTATTACTGTTACTACTGTCTCTAAAGCATTATTAACATATTACTGTTACTACTGTCTCTAAAGCATTATTAACATATTACTGTTACTACTGTCTCTAAAGCATTATTAACATATTCCATTACTATTACTGCCACACATTACACCTTTTTTCTCTCAAATCTGCCTTTCCTGGTTTGCACCAGTATGTTGATTTAGACTACTGCTGGGTCTACAGTATGTTGATTTAGACTACTGCTGGGTCTACAGTATGTTTCTCTTCTCATACAGGGGTCATTTATTTTTTATCAGGGGATGCTGCAGCACCATCAGTACCCCTACTTTCCACGGCTATGCTGATGTGCTAATATATGCCTTAAATATTTGTAACATATGGCCTCCCGAGTGGCGTATTTGTTCTAAGGCACTGCATTGCAGTGCTTGAGGCGTCACTATAGACCCGGGTTTGATCCCAGGATGTGTCGCAGCCGGCCGCGACTGGGAGACCCATGAGGCGGCGCCCAATTGGCCGAGCGTTGTCCGGGTTAGGGGAGGGTTTGGCCAGCCGGGATGTCCTTGTCCCATCGCGTCTAGTGACTCCTTGTGGCGGGCCGGGCGCATGCACGCTGACTTCGGTTGTCAGCTGTACGGTGTTTCCTCTGACACATTGGTGCGGCTGGCTTCCGGGTTAAGCGAGCAGTGTGTCAAGAAGCAGTGTGGCTTGGCAGTTTTGGAGGACGCATGGCTCTCGACCTTCGCCTCTCCAGAGTCCGTACGGGAGTTGCAGTGATGGGACATAAATAAAAATAAATAAAACAGGTTGTAAAATAAACGATATTCTATATCTTTATCAGTAGGCCCAATGGATCAAACTGAGGGTCATGTACCACATCAATTCCAATGGGGATGATGACACACCCCTCAAAAAAGGGAGGGAATGTTGTCTTTCCGAAATCCTTCAGCAGGATTCTAGACAGAGCATCCCTTCTACAGAATATGAATTAGGCTGATCTACTTGATGCAGCCCAGAGCATCCCTTCTACTGAATATTAATTAGGCTGGCCTACTTGATGAAGCCCAGGCTGCATCTTCTCAACTACAGGACTAATGCCCCCCAGCGTCCACCCTCTCCATCTGGGTTCAACTACAGGACTAATGCCCCCCAGCGTCCACCCTCTCCATCTGGGTTCAACTACAGGACTAATGCCCCCCAGCGTCCACCCTCTCCATCTGGGTTCAACTACAGGACTAATGCCCCCCAGCGTCCACCCTCTCCATCTGGGTTCAACTACAGGACTAATGCCCCCCCGCGTCCACCCTCTCCATCTGGGTTCAACTACAGGACTAATGCCCCCCAGCGTCCACCCTCTCCATCTGGGTTCAACTACAGGACTAATGCCCCCCAGCGTCCACCCTCTCCATCTGGGTTCAACTACAGGACTAATTACCCCCAGCGTCCACCCTCTCCATCTGGGTTCAACTACAGGACTAATGCCCCCCAGCGTCCACCCTCTCCATCTGGGTTCAACTACAGGACTAATTACCCCCAGCGTCCACCCTCTCCATCTGGGTTCAACTACAGGACTAATGCCCCCCCAGCGTCCACCCTCTCCATCTGGGTTCAACTACAGGACTAATGCCCCCCCAGCGTCCACCCTCTCCATCTGGGTTCAACTACAGGACTAATGCGCCCCCAGCGTCCACCCTCTCCATCTGGGTTCAACTACAGGACTAATGCCCCCCAGCGTCCACCCTCTCCATCTGGGTTCAACTACAGGACTAATGTCCCCCAGCGTCCACCCTCTCCATCTGGGTTCAACTACAGGACTAATGCCCCCCAGCGTCCACCCTCTCCATCTGGGTTCAACTACAGGACTAATGCCCCCCAGCGTCCACCCTCTCCATCTGGGTTCAACTACAGGACTAATGCGCCCCAGCGTCCACCCTCTCCATCTGGGTTCAACTACAGGACTAATGCCCCCCAGCGTCCACCCTCTCCATCTGGGTTCAACTACAGGACTAATGCCCCCCAGCGTCCACCCTCTCCATCTGGGTTCAACTACAGGACTAATGCCCCCCAGCGTCCACCCTCTCCATCTGGGTTCAACTACAGGACTAATGCCCCCCAGCGTCCACCCTCTCCATCTGGGTTCAACTACAGGACTAATGCCCCCCCAGCGTCCACCCTCTCCATCTGGGTTCAACTACAGGACTAATGCCCCCCCCAGCGTCCACCCTCTCCATCTGGGTTCAACTACAGGACTAATGCCCCCCCAGCGTCCACCCTCTCCTTCTACCCCAGTGGACGTACAGACAGTCAGTGTGAGCATCCCAAATAGCACTGTGTGCCCTATATAGCCCATAGGGCTCTGGTCAAACGTAGTGCACTATGTAGAGAATATGGTGCCTTTTGGGATACAGGCAGGGTGAGCGCTCTGTCTCAGGTGCATTTGAACAGTCTTGCCTGGAGTATCAATCCTGATGTATGGAAGGAGAGGGGCACAGAAGTGCTGACACCACTTAATCACAGTTAGATACATTCCGTCTCTTAGAGGGAGCTGCAGGGTAGCATCACATATAGGCTGAGTCCCAAATGGAAACATATTTCCTATGTAGTGCACTACTTTTGACCAGTCCCCCAAAAGGAGCGCACTATATAACAAATAGGGTGCCATTTGGAACACAATAGAAAAGCACTCCTTCCCCATTTTCAATATGGTAACCCACTCTAGACCTAAGTTAATTACTAGGTATTTAATCTCATCTGGTAATTTACATGAGTTGTCATACTCTTCAACTGAGTAATTAATTTTCGGTGAAGCTTGAAGGAACGTTTGAATTTTCTAAAATTTCCATGGAGTTAGACTGCCATCTTGTGGTGATGACTGAGCAAGACCAGACAAATTCTATTCCCTAGTCGTGCACTACTTTTCACTAGAGCCTTTTGAGGCCCTTAGGGAATAGGGTGCAATTTGGAAAGAACCCCCCCCCCAAAAGGACAGCAAAAACTAAAAATAATTGTTTATTTTGGTTCCTCCTCACCAATAGTTTCTGAACAATCAGACAACAAAAAATTGACAACAAAAAAAAAGTACAAGAAAAGTCATGAATTTTTACCACAATTCATTTCATGGACAGCATATTACGTGCATACTTGAAGACTCCAATGCCAATATCTCAACCATTGTACTCAAGGTGTGTGTGTAGCCCAGTCACTGTGGGGTTGCTGGATACCAGTGAGCGGAAATCTCAACAGAAAGATCAACCAATTACCTATCAGATATCAAAACAGAAGAGTTCATCAGACATCTTTCTATTGATAATACATTTTGATGAATACCGGTCGCTACCGTCCCACCTCTTGAAGGTCCTGAAATACCCCAAACTCTCTCTCCACCACTCATATTGTCTCATTCAGGGAATATAAATTATACACCCTTTGCGTACATGTAAAATTAACAAAATAATAGTTAAAGTGCTTTCTACCGACTCAAACATACATAATCTCTTAGAGAATGGTACTTTACACGGCATACGTTTGAGACTTAAAATCACTTTACTTTTCAGATTTCTGTTTTAGCAGAGCTCAGTGCACGAGGAGAAACAGAACAGAACATGTAAGACATCATTACCATCGGATGGTTGGCCTGTGTGTGACCACATCTGTGTTCTATGTGATGACACATACACATCATATACACAACTTACAGTGGCATTCACAACAAGGTCAAAAAACTGTGGTGACAACTGCTGGAGTTTTTACCAAACCAATCATACAGAAAGGAACCATCTGTCCACCTAACATGACACCAAAACATTAAACGAGTTTAATTAATAATACATCGGCACTGTTAAGAAACGAAACAAAGTTCTGTTTGTTTTAAAAAATGAGTTGGTTTCGTAGCTCGTAGGTTAAGGTGCTTGTGTAAACATTGTTCCACTCTGACCTCTGACCTCACAGGTGGACCACCCAAACAGGAACCTCGTATTAACGACATGATTGGGATTCAGATTGCCTTTAAAACAAAACGGTATTAGGGTACAAAGCAGGTTATTGGGAGCATACTTAGGCCTGGGATCAAAAACTATCTGTAATCATTTCAAATACATACCTTAGCTGGGCTTGCCTGGCACAACGGAACCAACCGACTTGCAAAAGTCCACTCTAGGCAGGATAAAGCAAACGCTAAACGTATAAGAAATATTTCAAAAACGATTTGAACCCAGGTTTGAAGATACTAGTTGGTAGTTGGTACAGTGGAGAGCAGAGCATTTTAGCTCTCCTGTATGCAGTAGTTTGATACAGTCTAGTAAGACAGACAGAAGAACAGGTCTGAATGACGTTCTCAAATAACCACTTCCTATATTAGAGGACACCGTCTGTCCGACCGTCTCTTTCTCCCAGAGTTTCAACTGCAACAGGTATACAAATATAATGCATTTGAGACCCTGAATAAAATGTTCATCATATGGTGAATCCTCTCTCTGCAGCTACATAAATACATACAGAGTTACAGCCGTCCCATTGACTACATATACATTGGTTTTAAACTTCACCCAACTTCCACAATATGCTTAGTTTGATTACATCTGGGGGAGAGGGAATGTGGGGTTCTGGTGAGAACTATTCCTATTCTATACAACCAGTGGAGAACGAGAACAAGCATTAAGTCAGAATGTTATCATCACTAGCAGTCTAAATGTACCATTCCATCCTTATCAACTGCCTAAACGTGTTCCCCCTTTGTCGTGTGAAACAGGTCTACGTAGACTAAGAAGTGAGGAGTGTGTGTGCCAGTCTGTGTCTGTCCGGGTAACGTTGTGTCAACATTGTATTAACAACGTTCCATCAGCATGTCTTTGTGATGTCTGGCTATGTGCTGGCTCTTCTCCGAGGGCCTTCTGAATCCTTTAGAACAGTAGCCACAGCAGTGGGGGTATTCCTTGGTGTGGATCGAGATCACGTGGCGTTTGAATCCCGAAGCGTCCGGGCTGTTGTACTCGCAGTACTGACACTGGTACACCTTCCTCCCGCTGTGGGTCTTCATGTGTTTCTTCAGCTCCGTGGACTGGCGGAACCCTCGCCGGCAGCGTTTACACTTAAAGGGGAGGTCCTTGGTGTGAACGGACAGGATGTGTCTGCTGAGGGTGAAAGGGTCAGAGGTTGTGAAGTTACAGTGCCTGCACTGGTGCACCTTGTTGCCCTTGTGCGTCTCCGAGTGTTTCTTCAGCTCAGAGGGCCGGTGGAAGCCCTTCTCACACACGTCACACTGGTGTGGGAAGTCTTTAGTGTGAACAGATATGATGTGGCGTTTTAGATCAGAGGAGTTGGTACTCTTGTGTTCACAGTGGGGGCACTGGTGGGTCCTGTGGCCCTGCACCATCTCTGTGTGCAGCTGCAGCTCCCGCTCGTCTGCGTAGGCCTGGGGGCAGTGGCCACACTTAAAAGGCAGGTCTGCACCGTGCTTGCTCTTGATGTGAGTCTTTAGGTTGGACTGGTCTGCACAGCGAAAGTTACAGTGCGGGCAGCAGTACGGCTTCTCACCCGTGTGGGTCCGCATGTGCTTCTTGAGCTCTGACGGGTGACGGAAGCCTTTAGCGCACTCCACGCACAGGTGGGCGAAGTTCCTACTGTGAACGGCCAGTAGGTGGCGGTTGAGGAGCCCCTGCTCTGCAGTCTCATAGTCACAGTACTTACAGTGGTGCAGTTTGGACTCCTTGTCCCTCAGGATCAGCTTGTTAGACCCTAGCTGGCTGTCTTCGTGGTAACGCCGGGTGTACTCTGTGTAGGTCCTGTTGTATTCTGGGTATTCTGGGGTGGTCCTGTTGTATTCTGGGTACTCTGGGGTGGCCCCGTTGTATTCTGGGTAGTCTGTGGTGGTCCTGCTGTATTCTGGGTACTCTGGGGAAGAGGTTATGTCTCTGTCACTGCGACGGACCAGTAGCTTGTGGGACTCCAGGTGGTTGTGGAAGTTGACCTTGAAAAACAAAACATAATTTATTTATAGTACATTTCACAGACATGTCACAAGAGCAACACACTTAACAGGGAGGAATAGGGAGGGAAACAATCACAACAATAAATGTCAACAACAATAACAATGTAATATTATAAAATTTTTTTCACCCGTGGGCCCCCCCCCTTTTTTTTTGGGGGGGGGGGGGAATCCAAAAAAAAAAAAAAAAAAAAAAAAAAAAAAAAAAAAAAAAACCCCCCCCCCCCCCCCCCCCCCCCCCCCCCCCCCCCCCCCCCCCCGGTTCCCCGGGGGGGGCGGCTTTGGGGGTTTTTTTGTGGGGATTTTTCCCCCGGGGCCCCAGGGTTTACCCCGGGGAAAAAACTGGTTTTTTTAAAAAAAAAACACCCTTTACTTTCCCCGGGGCGGGGGTGGGGTTTCATGGGGGGGGGGTTTTTCTAAAAAAAAAAAAAAAAAAAAAAAAAAAAAAAAAAAAAAAAAAAAAAAAAAAAAAAAAAAAAAAAAAAAAAAAAAAAAAAAAAAAAAAAAAAAAGGGGGGGGGGGGGGGGGGGGGGGGGGGGGGGGGGGGGGGGGGGGGGGGGGGGGGGGGGGGGGGGGGGGGGGGGGGCTCCTTTAAATGGGGCCCTGGCCCCGGTTTTTAAAAACCCTGTGAAACCGGGGGCAGGAAAAGGTAAAAAAAAGGGTTTTGGGGAAAAAAAGGTTCACCCCCCGGGGTTAAAAATTTTTTTAAAGGGGGGGTTTTTAAAAAAAAAGGGTTTCCCAAAAAAGTTAATTTTGGGGAAAAAATAAACAGAAAAGTCCCAAAAAAATTCCCCCAAGGGGGGGTTCGAAAAAGCAAAGAAAATCAAAAGAAAAGGGTGGGGAAAACAAAAAAAAAAAAAAAACCCCGGGGAAAGGGGAGTAAAAACGAAAAAAAAAATTTCCCCGAAAAAAGGTTTTTAAATAAAGAAAAAAAATTTTAAAAAAATTTTTAACAAAGGGGGGGTTTAAAAAAAGGAAATTTTAACAAAAAACAGGGATTATCCGAAAAATTTCCAAGTTTTTGGTTTTTTGGGTTTGTTAAAAAAAAGAAATCGGGGATTTAAAAACGAAACGGGTAAAAAGGGAAAAGGGGATTAACAAAAAGGAAAACGAAAATATTTAAAAAAAAAATTTTAACAAAAAAAAAAAAAAATAGAAATAAACAGAAAAAGATAATAACAAAAAAGAGAAAAAAAATAAATAACAAAAAAAAATAAAAAAAAAGGTTAACGAAAAAGGGAAGGTTTTAAAACAAAAAAAGGAAAAAAAGAAAAAATAAAACGAAAAAAAAAAATAAAGAAAAAGAAATTTTCAGAAAAAAAAAAAAACAAAAAAGGAAACGAGTTTAAACGAAAGAAGGGTATAAGAAGAGAGAGTACAAGAAAATGTAAACAAAAAATGGTGAAAACCAAAATGAAAAACAGGAAAGAGTAGAAAGAAACGAAGACAGAAAGGTAAAAGAATGGAAATAAAAAAGATACAGAAAATGGTAATCAAGAAAATATCTCACGAAAATTGGGAACAGGACAAATAGTTAAAAACAGAAAGAGTTTACAAAAAGAGTTAATAACAGAAAAAGAAACAAACGTAAAAGAAGTTAAAGTTAGAGAGAAACAGAAAAGGGAATATACGAAAAAGGAAAGGAAAATCAGAAGGGTATACAGAAAAGGGTTGAGTGATAAAAAAGGCAGAAAGAGTAATAAAGAAAGGAGAATAACAGAAAAGAAGAGTAATAACAGAAAGAGGAAAGGAATAATCCGGAAATGTTAACAGAAAAGGTAATACAGAAAGAGAGTAATAAAAGAAAGAGTTTTTTAACAGAAAAAGATAAAAAGAAAAGTATAACAGGAAAAAGGTATAACAGAAATAAAAACAGAAAAAAATTAAAACAGAAAAGGAAGTAATAAAGAAAAAGATAAAAGGGAAAAGGGGTAAAAAAAAAAGAGTAAAAAAACAAAAAAAAAAGGAGTAGTAAACGGGAAAAGAAGAGATTAATACGGGAAAAAGAAGATAATAACAGAAAAAAGTTAAACAGAAAGTAATAAAAGAAAACAGAAGAAAGTAATACAGAAAACAAAAGAGAGAATAACAGAAAAAGGTAAAAACAAAAGATGGAATAACAGATGGCAAGAAAATGATAATAAACAGAAAAAGGAAAATAAACAGAAAAAGAGATAAACAGAAAAGAGTAATAACAGAAAAAGGAGGTAAAAAGTAATAAGAAAAAAAAATAAGAAAAAAGGTAAAACAGAAAAAGAGAGTAAGAATACAAAAAAAGAGAATAACAGAAAAAAGTAATAACAAAAAAGAGTATAACAGAAAAAAAGAAAAGGTAATAACAGAAAAAGAAGGAGTAATAAAAAGAAAAAGAAGAGAATAACAGAAAAATTAACAAAAGAGATAATCAAAAAAGAGTAATACAGAAAAGAAGGTATAAACAGAAAGAAGAGTAAAACAGAAAAGAAGGAGTTAATAACAGAAAAAAGAGAGAGTTAAAATAACAGAAAAATAAGAGAGTAATAACAGAAAGAGAAATAACAGAAAAAAGTAATAACAGAAAGGGGTAATAAAGAAAGAAAAAAAGAAAGATAATAACAGAAAAAAAAGAATTTAAAAGAAAAAGAAACAGAAAAGGAGTAATAAAAAGAAAAGAAGAGTAAAACAGAAAAAGGGGTAAAACAGAAAAAAAGGTATAACGAAAAGTAATAACGGGAAAAAGAGGAAGTAAAACAGAAAAGAGGAAGTAATAACAGAAAAAAGAGGAGTAAAAACAGAAAAAGAAAAGATAATACGGGAAAAAGAGAATAAAACAGAAAAAAAAAAAAACGAAAAGAAAGTAAATAACAGAAAAAAGAGTAAAACAGAAAAAAGAGTAAGAAAAGAGTTAATAACAGAAAAGAAAGTAATAACGAAAAGAAGAGAAATTTAACAGAAAAAGAAAGTAATAAAGAAAAAGAAAGAGTAATAACAGAAAAAGAAAAAAGAGTAATAACAGAAAAAAGAGTAATAACAGAAAAAGAGTAATAACAGAAAAGAAGAGTAATAACAGAAAAGAGTAATAACAGAAAAAAGAAAAGAGAAAGGAGTAGTAATAAAGAAAAAAGGGGAGTAATAACAGAAAAAAAGAGAAATAACGGGAAAAGTAAACAGACCAAAATCAGAAAAGAATAAAACAGAAAGAAGAGTAATAAAAAAGAGAAAAGGAAAAAGAAATAACAGAAAAAGAAGTCAATAACAGAAAAAGAGATAATAAACAGAAAAAAAGAGAGTAAAACAGAAAAGAGTAAAACAGAAAAGAGTAATAACAGAAAAGGAGAAGGAAAAAGAAAAGAGTAAAACAGAAAAAGAGAGAGAAAAATAAACAGAAAAAAGAAATAAAAGAAAAAAGAAAAGAATAATCGAAAGTTAAAACAGAAAAGAAGAGAAAACAGAAGAGAGTAATAACAAAAAAGAGGACATAACAGAAACAGAAGATAATAACAGAAAAAGAAGAGTAAAAAGAAAGAAAACAAAAAGAAAGTAATAACAGCCCAGAAAAGAGTATACAAAAAAGGGCAGAAAAGAAATAACAGAAAAGAGTAATAACAAAAAAAGGGTATAAAAAAAGGAAAAGAAAAAAAGAAAAAAGGGTAATAACAGAAAAGAAGAGTAATAACAGAAAAGAGGAGAGTAATAACAGAAAAAGAGTAATAACAGAAAAAGAAGAGAAATAACAGAAAAATAAAACAGAAGAGTAATAACAGAAAAATAGTAATAACAGAAAAAAGGTAATAAACAGGAAAAAGAAGAGTAAAAACAAAAGAGGAAAACAGAAAAGAGTAATAAAGAAAAAGAAGGAATAACAGAAAAGGGGAGTAATAACGGGAAAAGGAGTAATAACGAAAAAAGAGGAAAACGGGAAAAAGAGAATAAACAGAAAAGAGTAATAACAGAAAAAGAGTAATAACAGAAAAAAGAAGTAAAAGAAAAAGAGTAATAAAAAAAAAAGGGGAGATAACAGAAAAAGAAGTAAAAACAGAAAAAGTAAAACGAAAAAAGAGTAATAAACAAAAGGAGTAATAAAAAAAAAGAGTAATAACAGAAAAAAGAAGAGAAATAACAGAAAAAAAGAAAACAGAAAAAGAAGAAAAAACAGAAAAAGAAGAGAATAACAGAAAAGAGAAGAATAACAGAAAAAAGTATAACAGAAAAAGAAGAGTAATAACAGAAAGGAAATAACAGAAAAAAGAGACTAACAGAAAAAGAGAAAGAAAAGAAACAGAAAAGAGAGTAATAACAGAAAAAAACAGAAAAGAATAACAGAAACAGAAAAGAAAAGTATAAAAAAAAGAAGATTAATAACAAAAAGAGTAATAAAAAAAAAAAGAAAGGTATAAACAGAAAAAAAAGTAATAAAGAAAGGAAAGTAATCAGAAAAAGAGTAACGAAAAAAAAAAGAAATAAAGAAAAAGAGTAATAACAGAAAAGAAGAGTAATAACAGAAAAAGAGTAATAACAAAAAAGAGGAGTAAAAAACAGAAAAATAGATAAAAGAAAATAGTTAATAACAGAAAAAAGTAATAACAGAAAAAGGAAGGAGAAAGTAATAACAAAAAAGAAGAGAAATAACAGAAAAGAGTAATAACAAAAAAGAAAAGTAATAACAGAAAAGAAGAGTAATAACAAAAAAGGTAAAAGAAAAGAAGTAATAAAAAACAAAAAGAAAAAGATTTAATAACAGAAAAAGGAGAGAGTAATAAAGAAACAGAAAGAGAGTAATAACAAAAAAAAAAGGAGTAACAGAAAAAGAAGGGGTAATAACAGAAAAAAAGGGGAGTTTTAACAGAAAAGAAAAGATAATAACAGAAAAAGAGTAGTGAAAAAACAAAAAAATAGTAATAACAGAAAAAAGAAGAGTAATAACAAAAAAAGGAGTAATAACGAAAAAAGAAATAACAGAAAAAAGTAATAACAAAAACAGAGAAGAAAAAAAAGGAGAGTTAATAAAAAAAAAGGGGGAATAATAAACAGAAAAAAAAAAGAAAGAAAAATATGTAATAACAGAAAAAAGAGATTTAATAACAGAAAAGAAGAGTAATAAAAAGAAAAAAAGAAAAAAGATAATAACAGAAAAGAAGAGATAATAACAGAAAAGGAGTAATAACAGAAAAGAAGAAGTAAAAAAAAAAAGAAGGGTAATAACAGAAAGAAAGAGTAAAACAGAAAAGGTTAACAGAAAAGGAGTAATAACGGGAAAAGAAGAGTAATAACAGAAAAAGGAGTAATAACAGAAAAAGAAGAGTAATAACAGAAAAAGAGTAATAACAGAAAAAGAGTAATAACAGAAAAGAGGTAATAACAGAAAATAGTAATAACAAAAAAAATAGGTAATAACAGAAAAGAGTTAATTAACAAAAAGGAAAAAAAAAAAAAAAAAAAAGAAGAGGTTTAAAAAAACAGAAGAGTAATAACAAAAAAGAGAGAATAACAGAAAAAGAGAGTAATAAACAGAAAGAAGAAAGTAAAAACAGAAAAGGAGAGTAATAACAGAAAAAAAATGGGGTAAAACAGAAAAGAGAGAAACAGAAAGAATAACAAAAAAAGAGAAATTAACAAAAAAGAGTAATAACAGAAAAAGGGAATTTAAGAAAAACAGAAAAAGAAGAGTAATAACAGAAAAAGAGAAGAAAGAAAAGAAAAAGAAAGAGTAATAACAGAAAAAAGTAATAACAAAAAAAGAGGAGCGTAACAGAAACAGAAGAGAGTAATAACAGAAAAGAGTAATAACAGAAAAGAAGAGAGTAATAACAGAAAAGAGTAATAACAGAAAAAGAGTAATAACAGAAAAGAGATAAAAAAAAAAGAAAGTAATAACAGAAAAAGAGCGGTAATAACAGAAAAAGAGTAATAACAGAAAAAAGGATAACGAAAAAAAAAGAAGAGTAATAACAGAAAAAGAAGAGTTAACAAAAAGAAAAAGAAGAGTAATAAAGAAAAAAGAAAAAGAAGAGGTAAAAGAAAAAAGAGAAACAAAAAGAGACGTATAACAGAAAAGGAAGGAGAGTAATAACAGAAAAATAATGGAAAAAAGGAATAAACAGAAAAGAGTAATAACAAAAAGAAAGGATAACAGAAAAAGGAAAAGAAAAGAAAAATAACAGAAAGAAACAGAAAAGAGAATAACGGGAAAAGAGTAATAAAAAAAAGAAGGTAATAACAAAAAAAAGAAATAACACGGGGGGAATGAAAAAATAAAAAAAATAAAAAAGGAAAAAAAGATAATAACGAAAAGGTCGGGGAAAATAAGAGGAGTTGGAAAAATACAAAAGAAAAAGGTATAACAGAAAAGAAAAGTAATAACAGAAAAAGGGTAATAACAAAAAAAGGAGTAATAACAGAAAAAGAAGGTAATAACAGAAAAAAGAGTAAAACAGAAAAGGAGGGAATAACAGAAAAAAATAATAAGAAAAAGAGAGTAATAACGAAGAAAAAAGGAGGAAAATAACAAAAAATTAAATAACAGAAAAAGTAAAAAAACAGAAAAATGTAATAACAAAAAAAAGGTAAATAAAGAAAAAGAAGAGTAATAAACAAAAAAAGGGTAATAAAGAAAGGGGTAAAAATAAACAAAAAAAGAAGAGAATAACAGAAAGGGAGAGTAAAAAAAGGGAAAAAATTTAATAACAGAAAAAAAGAGTAATAACAGAAAAAAATGAATAAACAAAAAAGAGTAAAACAGAAAAGGAGTATAAAAATAAAAAAATAGTAATAACAGAAAAAAAGAAAGAAGGGGTAATAACAGAAAAAGAAAGTAATAACAGAAAAAAAGTAAACGGGAAAAATAGTAATAACAGAAAAAGAGGTAATAACAGAAAAAGGAGGAGTAATAACAGAAAAAGAGTAATAACAGAAAAAGAAGGAGTAATAACAGAAAAGAGAGTAATAACAGAAAAAAGTAAAACAGAAAAAAGAAAAAAAACAGAAATAACAGAAAAGGGGGATAAAACAAAAGAGTAATAACAAAAAAAGATTAGTGTAATAACAGAAAAGGAAAGTAATAACAGAAAAGTGTAATAACAGAAAAAGAGTAATAACAGAAACAGAAGAGTAATAAAAGAAAAAGAGTAATAACAGAAACAGAAGAGTAATAACAGAAAAAAGAAAAAACAGAAAAGAGTAATAACAGAAAATAGTAATAACAAAAAAGGAAAGTAATAACAGAAAAAGAAGAGGGTAAAAACAGAAGAGTAATAACAAAAAAGACGATTAATAACAGAAAAGAAGAAAGTAATAACAGAAAGAGGAGAGTAATAACCGAATAGAATAACAGAAAAAAGAAAATTTTTAAAAAAACAGAAAAAGAGTAAAAAAAACAGAAAAGAAAGGTAATAACGAAAAAGAAAAAGAAATAATAAACAAAAAAGGTAAAACAGAAAAAAAAAAAAAAAAGAAAAAGAAGAGCAAAAAACGAAAAAGAGAAAAGAAAAAAAAAAAGAAAAAGAAAGAAAGAGAAAAAGAAAAACAGAAAAAGAAAAGAGAGTAATAACAGAAAAAAGAAAGAGTAATAACAGAAAAAAAAGAAGAAGAGAGTAATAACAGAAAAAGAAGAGTAATAACAGAAAAAGAAGAGAGCAATAACAAAAAAAGGGGAAAGGAGATTTTAAAAAAACAGAAAAAAAAGGGAGAGCAATAACAGAAAAAGAGAGAGTATAACAGAAAAAGAAGGAGGAAAAATAACTAAAAAGAAAGATTTAATAAAAAGAAAAGAAGGAATAACAGAAAAAGAAGAGAGAATAACAGAAAAAGAAGAGAAGTAATAACAGAAAAAGAAAAAGAGGCAATAACAGAAAAAGAAGAGAGTAATAACAGAAAAAGAAGAGAGTAAAACATAAAAAAAAAGAGGTAATAACAGAAAAAGAAGAGAGTAAATAACAGAAAAAAAAAGAGAGTAATAACAGAAAAAGAAAGAGTAAAAACAGAAAAAGAAAAAGAAGTAATAACAGAAAAAGAAGAGAGTAATAACAGAAAAAAAAGGAGAAATAAAAGAGAGTAATAAAGAAAAGAAGAGAAAACAAAAAAGAAGAGAGCAATAACAGAAAAAGAAGAGAGTAATAACAGAAAAATAAGAAGTATTAATAACAGAAAAAGAAGAGTAATAACAGAAAAAGAAGAGAGTAATAACAGAAAAAGAAGAGAGTAATAACAGAAAAAGAAGAGAGTAATAACAGAAAATAAGAGAGTAATAACAGAAAAAGAAGAGAGTAATAACAGAAAAGAAAGAGGTAATAACAGAAAATAAGAGAGTAATAACAGAAAAAGAAGAGAGTAATAACAGAAAAAGAAGAGAGTAATAACAGAAACAGTCCAATGACGGGAACATCAGAGATATGAGAGACGACAGACACCTTCTTATTGGTGGTGAAGTCACAGTCGGTACACTGGTACTTCTTCTTGAGGTGGTGGTCAGGATGGTTCTTCATGTGGCACTTGAGGAAGCCTTGTGACCTGAACTTCTTACCACAGATGTGACAGGGGTAGACGGTCAGGGGCATGCCGTCTGGACCGATGATCACAGCTGAGAGGGGACAGAGGGGAAATGGATTTAGCCTTTATTTATCCAGGCAAGCCAATTAAGAAGGAATGACCACAGGAGACTAAGAGAAGAGAGATGTCAAATTAGTGGATTCGGCTATTTCAGCCACATCCGTTGCTGACAGGTGTATTAAATCGAGCACACAGCCATGCAATCTCCATAGACAAACGTCGGCAGTAGAATGGCCTTACTGAAGAGCTCAGTGACTTTCATCGATGCACCGTCATAGGATGCCACCTTTCCAACAAGTCAGTTTGTCAAATTTCTGTCCTGCTAGAGCTTCCCCGCTCAACTCTAAGTGCTGTTATTATGAAATGGAAACATCTAGGAGCAACAACTGCTCAGCCGCAAAGTGGTAGGCCACACAAGCTCACAGAACGAGTGCTGAAGCGCATAAAAATCATCTGTCCTCGGTTGCAACACTCGCTACCGAGTTCCAAACTGCCTCTGGAAGCAACGTCAGCACAAGAACTGTTCGTCGGGAGCTTCATGAAATGGGATTCCATGACCGAGCAGCCACACACAAGCCTAAGATCACCATGCGCAATGCCAAGCGTCGGCTGGAGTGGTGTAAAGCTTGCTGCCATTGGACTCTGGAGCAGTGGAGAAACATTCTCTGGAGTGATTAATCACGCTTCACCATCTGGCAGTCCAACGGACAAATCTGGGTTTGGCGGATGCCAGGAGAACGCTACCTACCCGAATGCATAGTGCCAACTGTAAAGTTTGGTGGAGGAGGATTAATGGTCTGGGGCTGTTTTTCATGGTTCGGGCTAGGCCCCTTAGATCCAGTGAAGGGAAATCTTAACGCTACAGCATACAATGACATTCTAGATGATTCTGTGCTTCCAACTTTGTGGCTGCAGTTTGGGGAAGGCCCTTTCCTGTTTCAGCATGACAATGCACCCGTGCACAAAGCGAGGTCCATACAGAAATGGTTTGTCGAGATCGGTGTCGAAGAACTTGTCTGGCCTGCACAGAAGAGCCCTGACCTCAACCCCATCGAACACCTTTGGGATGAATTGGAACGCCGACTGCGAGCCAGGCCTAATCGCCCAACATCAGTGCCCAACCTCACTAATGCTCAAAATCTAGTGGAAAGCAAAAGAGGAGTAATAAAAAGAAAGAGAAAAAAAAAATAAACAGAAAAAAGAGATAATAACAAGAAAAAAAAAACGAGAAAAGAAAAAGAAGGGAATAACAGAAAAAAAAAAAAGGAAAAAAAAAAAAAAAAAAAAAAAAAAAAAAAAAAAAAAAAAAAAAAAAAAAAAAAAAAAAAAAAAAAAAAAAAAAAAAAAAAAAAAAAAAAAAAAAAAAAAAAAAAAAAAAAAAAAACGGGGTTTTAAAAAAAGGGAGAGAAAGCAAAAAAAAAAGAAAAGGTAATCGGGGAAAAAGGTTTCAAAAAAAAAGAGATACAAAAAAAGGGGAAAAAAAAAAAGGGGTTTAATCAGGAAAAAAGAAGAAAAACAAAAAAAGAGAGAAAAAGAAAAAGAAGGAAAAATCAGAAAAAAGATTTAAAACAAAAAAAAATTAAAAAAAAGGGAAAAAGAAAAAAAAAGAGAGAAAACACACCAAAGGGGAAAATCAAATTAAAGGGGGAGGAAATTTTCTTTGGGGGCGTAACGCGTTTTAATAAACCAGGGGGGCAAGCTGGGGCCCCAGGGGTTTTACCCAAAAACGTTTAAAAACAGGTGAAGGGGAATAATTTTCCTTTTTCCCGGCAACAAAAACGGGGGAAAAATTTGCCTTAAGGGGGAGAAAAAAACGGGGGAAACTTTTAAAAGGGACCTGGGTTTTTCCACACCCAAAAAAGGGTTTTAAAAATCAAAAAGCGAATCCCAAAACGCGGGGGGAGGTTAAAAACCCAGGGTTTATACTAAAGTAAAAAATTTTCCGGGGAAGTGAAAAGATTTTTAAATGGGGCCAAAAAAAGGGGTTTTCAAAACCAGGGAGAACCTTACCCAAAGGGGGGCCAACGTAAATTTTGGGGGGAGGAGAAAAAAGGGTTTTCCCCGGTGGGTTTTAAAAAGGGGTTCCCGGGGGCCCAAAAAATTTTTAATCATAAAAGGGTTTCAAAACGCAAAACACCAAAATTAAACACGGGGAAAAATTTTTTCCATTACGCAGGGGGAAAAACCCTTTTTCCTAGGGACAAACCCTTCACCAAAGGAAAAGGTTTTTCCATAAAAAGTTTGGAGGGGGTTTTCAAATTTTGAAAAAAAAATTTTGGGCTCCAGGGGGGGGGCCTTACCTCAAACCAGCGAACATTTGGGAGGAAAATTTTCCCCCCGGGGGAAAACCCCTTCCCCCAAAACAGTGCCCAAAAACCACCATCCAAAAAATTTTTCTAGGGGGCTTTCCAAAAGAATTTCTATCCAGAAGGGGGACCCAACCCCAAAACCGGAGAAAAGCACCGGGGCCCAGCTTCCAAAACACAGGAAAAAACCCTAAAAAAGGGAAAAACCCCAAAAAAGGGAGTTTTTTTTTTTTTTTTAAAAGAAAAAACCCTTTTTCCTTGGGGGTTTAACAGGGTACTTTTTGGGGAAAATTTTCCGAACCCCCCGGGCCAACCCAAAAACCCCTTTTTTCTTTTTTTAAAAATTTTTAGGGTTTTTTTCTTCAGACCAATTTTTATTTTAAGGGCCCCCCGGTCACTTCCTTTTCCGGGGTCCCCCAACCACTATAAAGGGAGGCCTTTTTCCCTCATTTAAACGGGGAAACACTTTTATCTACATATAAACAGCAGGAGAAACAGACTGTTATCTACTATAAACAGCGGGAAAAAACAACTTTTTTCTACATATAAACAGCGGGGGAGAAACAGACTTTTTTATTACATATAAAAGCAGGAGAAAAGGGACTTTTATTACATATAAACGCAGGGGGAACAACTGGATCTCAAAAAACAGGGGCAGGGGAAACAACTTTTTTCCCATATAAACGCGGGGGAAAAAACTGTTATCTACTAAAACACGGGGAGGAAAAACAGACTTTATTACATAAAACAGCAGGGAAAAAAGACGTTTTACATATAAAAGCAGGAGAACAGACTTTTATCCTACTTTAAAAACAGCAGGAAAAGCCCCGGTATTACAATAAACCCCGGAGAAAAGGTAATTAAAAAAACAGCGGGAAAAAGACGTTATCTAATAAACAGGGAAACAACTGTTCTCAAAAAACAGAGGGAAAAAACTGTTATCTAATATAACGGGGGGAGAAAAGATGTTTCTACAAAAAACAGCAGGAAAAAGCGTATCTACATAAAAACAGAGGAAAAAAACGACTTATTACATAAAAACACAGGAAAAAAACAGACTTTTCTAATTAAACAGAAGAAAAAAAACAACTTTTTTACATATAAACAGCAGGGAAAAAAAAAGACTTTTTACTTTAAAGCGGGAAAGAAACAGACTTTCAAATTTAAAAACCCAAGGGAGGAAACAGACGTTTTACAATAAACACCGGAAAAACGACTTTTTCTACATAAACAGCAGGGCAGGGTTTTAAAACGGGGACGTTTTCTAATTTAAAAGGGGGCAGGGAAACCGACTTTATCTACATAAAACAGAGGCAGGGAAAAAGATGTTTCCAAATATAAACAGCGGGAAGAAAACAACTTTTATCTACATATAAAACAGCAGGGGGGGAAAAACAGACTTTTATTACTTAAAACCGGGGAAAAAAAGACGTTTCAATTAAAAAACCCCGCGGGGAAAAAAGAAAAAAAAAAGGGAACAACTGTTATCTACTTAAAAACAGCGGGAGAAACAAAAGAAAAAAACGGGAAAAAAAACCTGACTACAAAAAACAGCGGGAGAAACAGACTGTTACTACATTAAACAGCAGGAGAAAAAACTGTTATCTACAAAATAAACAGGGAGAAAAATGTTATCTACTTTAAAAAACAGCAGGAAAAAAAACAGACTGTTATCACTTTAAAACACAAGGGAAACAACTTTATCTAATTAAAAAGCAGGGGGAACAGACGTTTCTACATAAAAGGGGGCGGGGAAAAAACAAGTTTTAATATAAAACAGGGCAGGGGGAAAACAACTGATCTACATAAAAACGGGGCAGGTGAAACAACTTTTACTACAAAAAAACAGAGGAGAAAAAAGACTGTTACTAATATAAACAGCAGGGAAACAGCTTTTATCTACATAAAAACCAGGGCGGGTGAACCAACTGTTATTACATAAAAAACAGCAGGGGGTGAAAACGAGTATCTACTTAAAAACAGCGGGAACAATTTTTTTCCTTAAAAACAGCGGGCGGGTAAACAGACTTTTTCTACATATAAAACGCGGTAAAACAGTGTTATTAAAAAAAACAGCAGGAAAAAACAGATGTTATCTACATATAAAACCAGGAGAAAAACTGTTATCTAATAAAAAACACAGGGCGGTGAAACAACTTTTATCACATAAAAACAGCAGAGAAAAAGACTGGTTTAATATAAACAGCAGGGCAGGTGAAACGACTGTTTTCTACATATAAACAGCAGGAAAACAGACGTTTTTTACATATAAAAAAGGGAAAAAAATTTTATCCAAAATAAACAGCGGGGGTGAAACAGACTTTTATCTATAAAAACAGGGGCGGAAAAAAACAGACTTTTTTTACATATAAACGCGGGGCAGTGAAAGATTTTTATTTTAAAATAAAAACAGGGGGGGGAGGAGAAAAAAAACTGTATCAAAAAAAACACGGAGAAAAACAGCTTTTTACACATATAACAGCGGGGAGGTGAAACAGACGTTATCTCATATAAACAGCAGGGCAGGGAAACAGACTGTATCTACTATAAAACAGGGCGGGTGAACAGACGTTATCTAAAAAACAGCAGGAGAAACAGACTGTTATCTACATATAAACAGCGGAAAAAAACGACTGTTATCACATATAAACAGCAGAGAAACAGATTTTATCTACAAAAACAGCAGGAAAAAATGTTTTAATATAAAAGCAGGAGAAACAACTGTTTTAATTAAACGGGGGAAAAAACAATTATTAATAAAAAACAGCGGGGCAGGTGAAAAACTGATTAATATAAAACGGGGGCGGGGAGAAAAAACAACTTATTACTTTAAAAAAGCCAGGTGAAACAGACTGTTATCTAAATAAAAACACAGGGCGGAGAAACGTGTTATTACATAAAAACAGCAGGAGAAAAGATTTTAAATATAAACAGCGGGCGGTTGAAACGATGTTTTTTACTTTAAAAAACAGCAGGGCGGGAAACGTGTTACTACATAAAAACAGCGGGAGAAACGCGTTTCTACATAAAAAACAGCGGGAGAAACAGCTGTTTCTAATAAAAACCCGAGGAGAAAAAGAAATTTTATCACATAAAACACGGGGAAAAGAAACAGAGTTATTCATATAAAAAAGAGGAAAAAGGGGAGTTATCTCTTTAAAAACGCGGGGCAGGTGAAAAACACTTTTTTAAAAAACAGCGGGGAGAAACAACCGTTATCTAATTAAACAGCAGGAGAAACAGACTTTTATCTACTTAACAAGGGCGGGTGAAACAGACGTTTAATATAAACAGCGGGGAAAAAACGTTATCTACATTAACAGCGGGCGGGGGAAAAAAAAACAGATGTTTCTACATATAAACGCGGGGCGGTTTAAAAAAACTGTTATCACATAAAAACAGGGGGGAGGTAAAAAGACGTTATCAAAAAAACAGCAGGAGAAACAGACTTTTTCTACATAAAAGCGGAGAAAGACTTTTTCTACATAAAAACAGCGGGGCAGGGAAACAGAGTTTTTAATATAAAAGCAGGGGGGGTAAAAACGACTGTTTTAATAAAAAACGAGGAAAAGAGACGTTATTCATAAACAAGGGGGGTAAAAACAGCTGTTTTTAAAATATAAACGCAGGTGAAACAACTGTTATCTAATATAAACAGCGGAAAAAACGATTTATTAATATAAAAAAGGAGAAACAGATGTTATCTACTAAAACACGGGGAAAAAAACGACTTTTTTCATTAAAGCGGGGGCATGAAAAACAGACTTTTATTACATTAAACAGGGGGAAAAAAACGTTATTACATAAACAGCGGGGCGGGGGAAACGACTGTTATCCTTAAACAGCAGGGCGGGGAAAACAACGTTTCACTTTAAAAACAGCAAAAGAACAGACGTATCTAAAAAACCCGCGGAGAAAAACAGACTGTTTTTACATAAAAAACAGGGCGGTGAAAAAGATGTTATCTACATATAAAAAAAAGGGGGCTTTTAAACAGAGTTATCTAAAAAAACAGAAGGGCAGGTAAAACAAAATTTCTAAAATTAAACAGGAGAAACAGTGTTTCTACATATAAACAGGGCAGGAGAAACAGACTTTATTCATAAAAACAGCAGGGGGTGAAACAGACTGTATCTAATTAAAAGGGAGAAAAAAGCGTTTTACATATAAACAGCAGGAAAAAAACAACTTTTACTACATATAAACACGGGCAGGGGAAAAAAGATTTTTTTATCTACATATAAACAGGGGCCCGGGGGAAGAAACAGACGTTTTTACATAAAAACAGCGGGAAAAAACAGACTGTTTTTAAAAATAAAACAGCGGGGAGAAACCTTTTAAATTAAATAAAAACGGGAAAAAACAGATTTTATCTAAATAAAAACAGCAGGGGGAAAGGGGACGGTTCTACATAAAACCAGAGGAGAAAAGGGGCTTTATCACTTAAAAACAGCAGGGCAGGGGGGAAAAACAGATGTTATCTACTTAAAAACAGCAGGTCAGGAGAAACAGACTGTTATCTACATATAAACAGCGGGGCAGGTAAACAGACGTATCTACTTTAAAAACAGCAGGGCAGGAGAAACAGCTTTATCAAATTAAACAGGGGAAAAAAAAACGATGTTATCTACTTTAAAAACACAGGGAGGTGAAAACAGATGTTATTACATATCACGGGGGCAGGGAAAACAATGATCTACATATAAAAGCAGGAGAAACAGATGTTATCTACATTAAACAGAGGGAGAAACGACTGTTATCTACAAAAAAAGGGGAGAAAAAGATGTTTTCTTTAAACAGCGGGGAAAAAACAAGGGTTATCTACATATAAAAGCGGAAAAAACAGGTTATCTACATAAAAACAGCAGGGCAGGTAAAACAGACTGTTTTACAAAAATAAACGCGGGAAAAAAGCCTTATCTAATAAAAACACAGGAGAAACGACTGTTTCTACAATTTAAACGCAGGGCAGGGGGGAAAACAGCTGTTTTTACTTAAACAAGGAGAAACAGACTTTTACACATATAAACCGGGCAGGGAAAACAGCTGTTATCTACATAAAAAACAGCAGGGCAGGTGAAACGCTGTTATCACATATAAACAGAGGGCGGGTGAAACCGATTTTTCTACTAAAAAAGCGGGAGAAACAATTTTTACTAAACAGCGGAAACAATGTTTTTACAATAAACAGCAGGCAGGTGAAACAATGTTCACAAAAAACAGCGGGGGCAGGTAAAACAGATTTTATCTACATAAAACAGCGGAGAAGCAACTTTTATTAATATAAACGAGGGCATTTTGAAACGACTTTATCTCCCTTAAAAAGGGTGAAAAGACGTTTTACAAAAAAAACAGAGGAAAAAAAAACAGACTTATTAATATAAAAGCGGGAAAACGGGACTGTTTTTAATAAAAACGCAGGAAAAAAACAGCTGTTTCTCAAAAACGCAGGGCAGGAAACAGAGTTATTAAATAAACACAGGGGGAAAACAGATGTTTTTAACTATAAAACGCAGGGGAGGTAAAAAAGACTGTTATCAACTAAAAAGCGGGGCAGGAAAACGATGTTAACAAAAAACAGCGGGGAAACAGATGTTACTACATAAAAAACAGCAGGAAAAACGAGTTTTACATATAAAAGCGGGCGGGTGAAAAACCAGACTTTTTACAATAAACAGGGGGCAGGTAAAACAACTGTTATCAATTAAAAGAAGGGCGGTGAAAAAAATTTATTCTATAAACACGGAAAAAGTGTTATTCAAAAACCCCAGGGCAGGAGAAACAGACTTTTACACTTTTAAAAGCGGGTAAAAACAGACTGTTATCTAATAAAAAGCGGGAGAAACAACTTTTTATCAAAATTTAAACGCAGGCAGGAGAAACAGACTGTTTTACATATAAACAGCGGGGCAGGAAAAACGTGTTTTTACATTAACGCAGGGGGGAGAAAAAAAACTGTTATCTAATATAAACACAGGGAAAACGCTTTTTATTAATATAAACAGCGGGAAAACGACTTTTATCTACAATAAACAGCGGGGAAAAAAACAACTTTTATTAATAAAAACAGCGGGGAGGTGAAAGTTTATTTACATAAAACGCAGGGGCAGGGGAAAACAACTTTTATCTACATATAAACAGCGGAGGTGAAACAGACTGTTTTTTAAAATTAAACCAGAAGAAACGACTGTTAACATATAAACAGAAGGAAAAAAAATGATCTACATAAAAACCGGGAAAAAACGACGTTTTTAATATAAACACAGGTGAAACAAATGTTTCTACTTAAAAGGGGCCCGGAAAAACAGATTTATCAAATAAAACAGCAAGAAACAACTTTTATTACTATAAACGCGGGAGAAACAGACTGTTTTCTACTAAAACAGCGGGGAGAAAAGATGTTTCTACAATAAACAAGGAGAAAACAGATTTTTACAATAAACAAGGGCGGGGTAAAACAGCTGTATCTCATTAAACGCGGGCAAGGAAACAGATGTTATTACAAAAACGCAGGAAAAAACAGACTTTTATCTAAATAAAAGCAGGAGAAAACTGTTATCTAATATAAACCGGGGGAAAAACACGTTATCTACATATAACCCCAAGAGGAAAAACAACTTTTTATCACATAAACAGGGGAAAAAAAACGATTTTACTACAAAAAAAGCAGGAAAAACAGATTTATCTACATATAAACACGGGCGGGAGAAACGACGTTTTTAATTAAACAGCAGGAGAAACGATGTATTACAATAAAAAGCAGGAAAACGACTTTATCTACTTTAAAAAACAGGGGGCAGTGAAACGACTTTTATCTACTATAAACAGGGCGGAGAAAGGACTTTTATTACAATAAACCGGGGGCGGGGAAACAGCGATCAATAAAACCGGGAAAAGAAAAAAGACTTTTTATTACAAAAAACGCAGGGCGGGGAAAAAACAGTGTTATCAAAATTCGCAGGGGGGAAAAACAAAATGTTATCACATATAAACAGCAGGAGAAAAGATGTTATTAAAAAAACAGGGGCGGGGTTTGAAACCGGACTTTTATTACTTTAAAAACAGCAGGGAGAGAAAGAGACGGTTCTAAATAAACGCAGGGCAGGTGAAACAGATTTTTATCTACAATAAAAGCAGGAGAAACAGATTTTATCTACATATAACGAAGGGGGAAACACTTTTTACTTTTAAACACGGGCAGGGAAACGATTTTTCTACTAAAACACAGGGAAGGAGAAACAGATTTATCTACATAAAACGCAGGGGGGGAAAAACGACGTTTTCTACTATAAACACAGGAGAAAAAACGTTTCACAAAACACAGGAAGAAAAGCTTTTTATCTACTATAAACACAGGAGAAACGCTGTTTCACTATAAACACAGGAAAAACCCGACTTTTATCTCCCATAAAACAAAAGGGGGAAACAGACTGTTATCTCATTAAACCGGGAAAAACGACTGTTATTACTATAAACGAGGAGAAAAAGACTTTTTTAAATTTAAAACAGCGGGAAAAAAACAGACTTTATTACATAAAACGCAGGGAAACAATGTTTCTACATATAAACACAGGGCAGGAAAGAAACAACTGTTAACATAAAAAAACGCGGGAGAAAAACGTTATCTACAATAAACACAGGAGAAACGTTTTCTACAAAAAACAGGGGGCAGGTGAAAAACGACTTTTATTACATAAAAAACAGCAGGCAGTGAAAAGATGTTATCACATATAAACAGAGGGGGAGAAACAGACGTTATTACATATAAACAGAGGTAAAACAACTGTTATCTAAAATAAACAGCGGGTAAAAAGATGTTATCACTAAAACAGAGGAGAAACGGTATTACATATAAACAGAGGGCAGGTGAAACAGACTGTTATCTACATATAAACAGCAGGAGAAACAGACTGTTATCTACATATAAACAGCAGGGCAGGTGAAACAGACTGTTATCTACATATAAACAGCAGGGCAGGTGAAACAGACTCATCTACAGTGAGGGAAAAAAGTATTTTATCCCCTGCTGATTTTGTACGTTTGCCCACTGACAAAGACATGATCAGTCTGTAATTTTAATGGTAGGTTTATTTGAACAATGAGAGACAGAATAACAACAACAAAATCCAGAAAAACGCATGTCAAAAATGTTATAAATTGATTTGCATTTTAATGAGGGAAATAAGTATTTGACCCCTCTGCAAAACATGACTTAGTACTTGGTGGCAAAACCCTTGTTGGCAATCGCAGAGGTCAGACGTTTCTTGTAGTTGGTCACCAGGTTTGCACACATCTCAGGAGGGATTTTGTCCCACTCCTCTTTGCAGATCTTCTCCAAGTCACTAAGGTTTCGAGGCTGACGTTTGGCAACTCTAACCTTCAGCTCCCTCCACAGATTTTCTATGGGATTAAGGTCTGGAGACTGGCTAGGCCACTCCAGGACCTTAATGTGCTTCTTCTTGAGCCACTCCTTTGTTGCCTTGGCCGTGTGTTTTGGGTCATTGTCATGCTGGAATACCTATCCACATCCCATTTTCAATGCCCTAGCTGAGGGAAGGAGGTTCTCACCCAAGATTTGACGGTACATGGCCCCGTCCATCGTCCCTTTGATGCGGTGAAGTTGTCCTGTCCCCTTAGCAGAAAAACACCCCCAAAGCATAATGTTTCCACCTCCATGTTTGACGGTGGGGATGGTGTTCTTGGGGTCATAGGCAGCATTCCTCCTCCTCCAAACACGGCGAGTTGAGTTGATGCCAAAGAGCTCGATTTTGGTCTCATCTGACCCCAACACTTCCACCCAGTTCTCCTCTGAATCATTCAGATGATCATTGGCAAACTTCAGACAGGCCTGTATACGTGCTTTCTTGAGCAGGGGGACCTTGCGGGCGCTGCAGGATTTCAGTCCTTCACGGCGTAGTGTGTTACCAATTGTTTTCTTGGTGACTATGGTCCCAGCTGCCTTGAGATCATTGACAAGATCCTCCCGTGTAGTTCTGGGCTGATTCCTCACTGTTCTCATGATCATTGCAACTCCACGAGGTGAGATCTTGCATGGAGCCCCAGGACGAAGGGAGATTGACAGTTATTTTGTGTTTCTTCCATTTGCGAATAATCGCACCAACTGTTGTCACCTTCTCACCAAGCTGCTTGGCGATGGTCTTGTAGCCCATTCCAGCCTTGTGTAGGTCTACAATCTTGTCCCTGACATCCTTGGAGAGCTCTTTGGTCTTGGCCATGGTGGAGAGTTTGGAATCTGATTGATTGCTTCTGTGGACAGGTCTCTTTTATACAGGTAACAAGCTGAGATTAGGAGCACTCCCTTTTTTGTACAGATCCTTGCGACATGGGGCTGTGCATTATCATGCCGAAACATGAGGTGATGGCGGCGGACGACGTAGGTGAACTTCCCTGAGACTGTTTCTGACAGTTTGTGCAGACATTCTTTGGTTGTGCAAACCCACAGTTTCATCAGCTGTCCGAGTGGCTCGTCTCAGACCATCCCGCAGGTGAAGAAGCCAGATGTAGAGGTCCTGGGCTGGCGTGGTTACACGTGGGCTGCGGTTGTGAGGCCGGTTGGACGTACTGTCAAATTCTCAGAAACAACGTTGGAGGCGGCTTATGGTAGAGAAATTAACATTCAATTCTCTGGCAAAAGCTCTGGTGGCATTCCTGTAGTCAGCATGCCAATTGCACGCTCCCTCAAACTTGAGACATCTGTGGTATTGTGTTTGTGACAAAACTGCACATTTTAGAGTGGCCTTTTATTGTCCACAGCACAAGGTGCACCTATGTAATGATCATGCTGTTTAATCAGCTTCTTGATATGCCACACCTGTCAGGTGGATGGATTATCTTGGTAAAGGAGAAATGCTCACTAACAGGGATGTAAACAAATTTGTGCACAAAATGTGAGAGAAATACGCTTTATGTGCATATGGAAAATTTCGGGGATCTTTTATTTCAGCTCATGAAACATAGGACCAACACTTTACATGTTGCGTTTATGTTTTTGTTCAGTATAGATATAAACAGCAGTGGAGGAGAAATAAGGTTTAGCAAATACTAAAACAAGCACTACTCTTGAAAGGTCTGTGTGTGCGCCTGTACACGTTTTACTATACTGAACCAGAAGTCCTCACAAGAATAGCAAACCAACTAAAATTCAGAGAAGTGAGGACATTTTGCCAGTCCTCACTTGTAAAAAGGCTATTTTAGGCTTAGGCGTTAGGTTTAGGGAAAATCTGATTTTGGGAATCAACTGTTGGTCCTCAAAAAGTCCACACAAGTATAGTAAGACTCAGGGCTCTACATGTGTCCATGTCCATAGTGAAACGAGAGATGAGAACCTCTGTGAATACCGGTTAACCTCGTATTTAGAAGTTATTTTCCTGTAACAATTGTATTCCGTTTCATATTTTTAAAACACAAGCCCTCTGCTTCAGGTCTTTATTATCGTGCCGATTTTAATGACATCATTACATTTATTTATTGTTGTGGAAAAAACAATTGCTTGTTTTCATTCCATTTGATTAAAATGTATTAGAATGATTCAGTGTCCTGGTTTTATGGTGAGAACGTCCGTGGCGCGCATGCAATGCAACTTTTGGAGATGTGTGAATGCGATCTGTAAGATGGTTCCAACATACATGAAATTAGTTTGAATAGGAAATATAGCAAAATGAATAAGAAATGTAGTCACTGACAAGGTTAGAAATAATTATTTTTAATTGAAATAATAATTTTGTCCTTCAAACTTTGCTTTTATCAAAGAATCCTCCATTTGCAGCAATTACAGCCTTGCAGACCTTTGGCATTCTAGTTGTCAATTTGTTGAGGTAATCTGAAGAGATTTCACCCCATGCTTCCTGAAGCACCTCCCACAAATTGGATTGGCTTGATGGGCACTTCTTAAGTACCATACGTTCAAGCTGCTCCCACAACAGCTCAACAGGGTTGAGATCCGGTGACTGTGCTGACCACTCCAGTATAGACAGAATACCAGCTGACTGCTTCTTCCCTAAATAGTTATTGCATAGTTTGGAGCTGTGCTTTGGGTCATTGTCCTGTTATAGGAGGAAATTGGTTCCAATTAAGCGCCGTCCACAGGGTATGTCATGGCGTTGCAAAATGAAGTGATAGAGTTCCTTCTTCAAGATCTAGAAGGTCAGCATCCCGGAGTCGCCTCTTCACTGTTGACGTTGAGACTGGTGTTTTGCGGGTACTATTTAATGAAGCTGCCAGTTGAGGACCTGTGAGGTGTCTGTTTCTCAAACTAGACACTCTAATGTATATATCCTCTTGCTCAGTTGTGTACCGGGGCCTCCCACTCCTCTTTCTATTCTGGTTAGAGCCAGTTTGCGCTGTTCTGTGAAGGGAGTAGTACACAGCGTTGTACGAGATCTTCCGTTCTTTGGCAATTTCTCGCATGGAATAGCCTTCATTTCTCAGAACAAGAATAGACTGACGAGTTTTAGAAGAAAGTTCTTTGTTTCTGGCCATTTTGAGCCTGTAATCGAAGCCACAATTGGTGATGCTCCAGATACTCAACTAGTCTCAAGAAGGCCAGTTTTATTGCTTCTTTAAATTAGCACAACAGTTTTCAGCTGTGCTAACATAATTGCAAAAGGATTTTCTAATGATCAATTAGCCTTTTAAAATGATAAACTTGGATTAGCAAACACAACGTTCCATTGGAACACAGGACTGATGGTTGCTGATAATGGGCCTCTGTACGCCTATGTAGCTATTCCAATAAAAATCAGCCGTTTCCAGCTACAATAGCCATTTACAACATTAACAATGTCTACACTGTATTTCTGATCAATTTGATGTTCTTTTAATGGACAAAAAAATTGCTTTTCTTTCGAAAACAAGGACATTTCTAAGTGACCCCAAACTTTTGAATGGTAGTGTATATAATAATAATAATAATAATAATAATAATAATAATAATAATAATAATAATAATAATATGCCATTTAGCAGATGCTTTTATCCAAAGCGACTTACAGTCATGTGTGCATACATTTTTACGTATGGGTGGTCCCGGGGATCGAACCCACTACCCTGGCGTTACAAGCGCCATGCTCTACCAATTGAGCTACAGAGGACCACCCATATAAAACATATTTGGAAGCAGTATAACGGTGAGTGGAGATTCTCCCTTTCTCTTTACATTGGATCTTGGCCAGCTACTGTGAAAAGTTTGGATGTGCGTAAAGCCATAGCCTGCGTTGTTTAAATATTATATGCCCACAGGAAGCAATTATGGTGCCTGTAAGTGTATTTAGACATAGCGTATTTAAAAACAAGTTGTTTCGTTTTGTTTAGAATTTTATTACAATTATTCGCTCTCTTTTTAGGACTTAATAATAATTAATTTAATGCTTATTGCCCTAATGCAATTTACAGTAGGCCTAGCCCCTATATCATTGTGATTGTTATGTATATATTTCCACATTAAAGCCATGCAATTACTTAGAACAATGTGGACTGCAAACAGGTTCAAGTCAACATATTTAGCAAAGACTACATTTTGTTATTTTGTTTCTGTAAACTGTTTAACAAACTATAAACAGACTAACATTGGAATTGGAGTCCAAGGCAATACATAAAAGCCTGTAAATATACAACTTGAAGCAAACACATATTTAGCCATGGAGCATGTTATGATTGGCCAGTGAGGGGCCAAGCCTCGACAGACTCACAATTTGTTTATTCATCAAATTCCAGCCCTTTCACACCATCACTGCAACGTACATTTTTGGTTGTGAAAATAGCTAAAGTACTTCTGATACATCCCCGAACCGATAGCGCTACCACCAGCGCTTGGATTTACCATTGCGTTAGGTTTGTTAAAATAGAGCCCATAGTCGTGTGTCTTATATCCAGCTGAAGGAATACTGTTATTACTGAATATAAAACCAGTTGATCACACAACAGGAGTGATCCTTATCCTTACCATAGGCTGCAGCCCAGGAGATAGGGACAAACATCTTGCTGTTCGGAGAGTCATCTATCTGGTTCTCCTGGACTGCAGAGGCCTCCTCCTCTCCTACAATCACCTCCATGTACACCTGCTCTGCCATGTCTGACACATCTGTAAACACACAGACAGATTCAGTAACAACCCTAACCCTCCTCACCTACAACCCTACACCTACTCAGCCCTGTCAGCCAGGTTTGGAAAACAGAGTGACACAGAGACATGTACAGAGACATGTACAAACACATTCTTGATTTGCCTGAAGCCCTGTTCAAATCCTTTTGAACAGCACCAGTGAAAAATACAATAAAATTAACCTATCAAGTCGTGTTTGATCACATGATTGGACAGGTGAAATGAAGGGTTCCACTAAAAAGCATTTCATAGATGGGAGTTATTTAATAGAAGAAGAGTGTATACTCACTGATCTCTTCCTCTGACTGGGACTGGTCCTTCACAGCCATGTAGACCATCTTCTCCCCCCGGCCATGTCTGCCTCCTCCCCCAGACTCCAACATAGCATGGTGGCCGTTATGGAAGCCACTCTCAGACACCACCTCTGTCCCACCTACAGACACAGACAGTAACCACGCTTCAATCCACAGTTTGTAATGCTAGTAAAGTTTCAGATTGTTTAATAGTCACATGTGCAGGGTTGCAGGTGTGATTGCAGGGCACATTGAACATCTTAGGCTTCGAGCTTCAACATGCAGGACTAGTAAAATAAAATAAATAAATAATAAAAAAAAGGTAATAAAAACATTAGATATATACATAATAACAACTGATGAATAAATAAAGTCATACCGTATATTTAAATAAAATCACGACAGCTGTGATGGAAACAGGAAGTTTCGGTACAATTTCATAAATGCAGACAGATCATTAGTTCGTTCGACATGTTGGGATCTTTTTGTGTCGGTAAAATGTATTATGCGAGAAATGGCGGTAGAAACCCTATTATGCGCAAATATTGATATAATAACCATCATATCGAAGCAAACTTTGGAGTCACGCGATGATATGTTGTGTGGTCCTCCCACTACGACTCGGGAAACCGTGCAGTTTATTAGGCTACAAATTAAATAAATGATGATGAACTTCACAGGGTGGTGGAAGTGCACGGTGATGTTGATGCTCTTTTCCAATAAATATCGAGGGTCTTATTCTGGTGACATGATGATCAACGCTTGACAAATAAATAAAAATCTGTCTCTTATCCATAATAATCTCATCATGTAGACTAGCCTGCCCACACAGCCTATCTGTACTGTATCTGCGCGCTGTTATGCCAAGACCAGAGTAGGCACATTTGCTAATTTACGCAACAGTTTGTGACAAAACTATCGGTTGAGTTGAAAATGTGATGAAAACACATTGAACTTTACCTTTTTATTTAGTACATGAAAACGTAAAACGAAACAGTACATTGTGTGCACTACACCATCACACACTGATATTTATCTGCAACAAGTCCATTTGTTGGAAATAGCACTGGTGGGAAAATGCGCACATTTATTTATGCAGATTTTAGAATACCTGCATGAAAATCTGTTGTCACACACATTTTATGCGATCTCTCTACTCCTCTAGGGAACACTTACCATCTAAAGTATAATTTCCATATATGTAGCTGACACTTCACATTAGAAGATAATAGTTTGATGCCATTCACAATATGCAAATTATGCTTCACGGTTCAATTGACGTGGCTCTTGAAATGTCGGCCTCGTCGATGAGAGAATGGCGCTTTCAAGACAACTGGGAACTCTGAAATAACCGAGATCAAATCATGACGTCGGAAAGTCGGAGCTCTAGAAAGATGCCAGATTTTCCGAGTTGGAATTCCGAGTTGGATGACCGTTCAAACCGATTTTTCCCCAGTCTGAGCTAATTTTTTTCTGCGTTCCCAGTGGCCTCCTGTAGCTCAGTTGGTAGAGCATGGCGCTTGCAACGCCAGGGTTGTGGGTTCGATTCCCACGGGGGGCCAGTATGAAAAATGTATGCACTCACTAACTGTAAGTCGCTCTGGATAAGAGCGTCTGCTAAATTACTCAAATGTAAAATGTCTTGAACGCACTGATGTCGGAGAGTTCCTTCGAATGCGGAAGTAGTACCACTCACCTATCTCCACATCGTCATCGGCCTCGGCTTTGAAGATGTAGACCTTGATGACCTCAGACCCGTCCTTGTTGGAGCCTTCGTCCTGCATCACCTCAGTAGTGATCTCCAGAGGAGTGTCTCCTATGTCCAGCTTCTCACCAACGTCATCCACTGGATGGACGGACGGACACACACACACACACACACACACACACAGTAAGAATACAGCAGTGATCTCCAGAGGAGTGTCTCCTCTGTCCAGCATCTCAACAACGTCATCCACTGGATGGACACAAAATAACACATCACAGCTTTTACCCAGCAGCAGGGTAGCGGTCAATAACAAGGACTTGGAAGGCAAAAATGCCCAGAAGAGTTCATGAAATATACTCTCAAAATGGACTTCAGAAACTGGCTACAAACTAACCTTCAGCTATATTCTAGCCTATTCATTTGCAGTGGATGTAAACAATTATTCAAATTAGGGCTGACCCCAATTAGTCGACTGGTCGATTGTTTGGTCGTTAGGCTGTTGGTCGACTGAGATTGTTTTAGGTCGAGCAGTAACAAATAAATAAATACATAAACACACAGCCACAGTACCAGTCAACAGTTTGGACACACCTCCTCATTCCAGGGTTTTTCTTTAATTTTACTATTTTCTACACTGTAGAATAATATTGAAAACATCAAAACTATGAAATAACACATATGGAATCATGTAGTAAACATTTTTTTTTTTTTTTTTACAAATCAAAATATATTAAAATAGCCACCCTTTGCCTTGATGACAGCTTTGCACACTCTTGGCATTCTCTCAACCAGTTTCACCTGGAATGCTTTTCCAACAGTCTTGAAGGAGTTCCCACATATGCTGAGCACTTGTTGGCTGCTTTTCCTTCACTCTGCCGTCCGACTCATCCCAAACCATCTCAATTTGGTTGAGGTTGGGGGATTGTGGAGGCCAGGTCATCTGATGCAGCACTCCATCACTCTCCTTCTTGGTAAAATAGCCCTTACACAGCCTGGAGGTGTGTTGGGTCATTGTCCTGTTGAAAAACAAATGATAGTCCCACTAAGCCCAAACCAGATGGGATGGCATATTGCTGTAGAATGCTGTGGTAGCCATGCTGGTTAAGTGTGCCTTGATTTCGAAATAAATCAGACAGTGACACCAGCAAAGCACCCCCACACCATAACACCTCCTCCTCCATGCTTTACGGTGGGTAATACACATGCAGAGATCATCCGTTCACCCACACCACGTCTCACAAAGACACGGCGGGTGGAACCAAAAATCTCTAATTTGGACTCCAGACCAAAGGACACATTTCCACCGGTCTAATTTCCATTGCTCGTGTTTCTTGGCCCAAGCAGGTCTCTTCTTCTTATTGGTGTCCTTTAGTAGTGGTTTCGTTGCAGCAATTCGACCATGAAGGCCTGATTCACACAGTCTCCTCTGAACAGTTGATGTTGAGATGTGTCTGTTACTTGAACTCTGTGAAGCATTTATTTGGGCTGCAATTTCTGAGGCTGGTAACTAATGAACGTATCCTCTACAGCAGAGGTAACTCTGGGTCTTCCATTCCTGTGGTGGTCCTCGTGAGAGCCAGTTTCATCATAGCGTTTGATGGTTTTTGCGACTGCACTTGAAGAAACTTTCAAAGTTCTTGGAATTTTCCATATTAACTGGCCTTCATATCTTAAATTCATGATGGACTGTCGTTTCTCTTTGCTTATTTGAGTGGTTCTTGCCATAATATGGACTTGGTCTTTTACCAAATAGGGCTATCTTCTGTATACCTATCTACCTTGTCACAACACAACTGATTGGCTCAAACGCATTAATTCCACAAATTAACTTTTAAGAAGGTACACCTGTTAATTGAAATGCATTCCAAGTGAGTACCTCATGAAGCTGGTTGAGAGAATGCCAAGAGTGTGCAAAGCTGTCATCAAGGCAAAGGGTGGCTATTTGAAGAATCTCAAATTTAAAATATATTTTGATTTGTTTAACACTTTTTTGGTTACTACATGATTCCATCCGTGTTATTTCATAGTTTTGATGTCTTCACTATTATTCTACAATGTAAAAAAAATGTAAAAATCAAGAAATACCCTTGAATGAGTAGGTGTGTTCAAACTTTTGACTGGTAGTGTATTTGCGGAGCCTCCTGAGGCATGCAGAGGCCAAATCGAGCTCTGTACCACATCGCCATACGCCTCCAAAATGTTGTAACAATGAGGAGGGCTCTGTATAGCTCCGCATTGACATGATTGGTTGACGGTAGGTACATCCTGTATAAACACAAACTAACTTCCTTGACAACAGCTCTGCACTGCTCCGCGAAGCACAAGAAGTATGAATGCCCTGACTTCTGCTGAGGCCAAATCACTGTAAATGCTGCATGGCCAATGCTGACTTTGGATTGACCATGCACCCAGTAGCACAATTCACGTCTCTCTCCAGAATGCGTTCTCTCCCGCCAATTTGTGCACATTGTTTCAGAACTTCAACTTGTGTGAATTGTTTGCTTTCAATTGTTAGTGTCTTATCAATTCCCCATTACATATATCACCAGTAGTACATTTACCGTTAATGCCTATAATTTTTAATCTACAATGTTTGTTACTTTGGTTACGGTCATTTATTTTAATCTAGGCAATATTATTCCAGTCTTCCTGTTCTCATTGTCAGAGTGGACACATTATTTGCAGAGTGCACAACCTATGCTACACTTGTGAGAAACAACTTTTGGTTTATTTAAATCAATTTACGAGTTCTGTCAATTTAGTCATTGTCTTTTGTTTGGAGCGCTCGTGTCAATGTTGAGTAAGGACGCGCACGCATAGAAGTAGGCCTATAGGCTACCTGGCATGAGTGCAAATGTAGACATATAAAAAGTGCCCATTTGGGGATCTGATAGTATTTCTGATTGGCTTAACGCACCACCACTAATGACCTGTGGAGCATCTCAAAGTAATGTTTTCTTCACCTCAAACAGCAAGCAATCAGTCTTTTTTTTTACATCCATTGAGAATTACAATAGTTCCTCAATGTATTTGAAAAATATTTCCAGCTCTCTCCCTTTCGATAACCAACTCAGCGTGAAAAATGTCATGCTCTGATCCAGTGAAAACGTCATAAAATAGGCTTGACTTGGACTGAAATAGGTTCCAGTACTCATTTTGGGTGATGGTACTGTTTATATTTACAGTTAAAGTCGGAAGTTTACATACACTTAGGTGGAGTCATTAAAACTAGTTTTTCAACAACTCCACAAATGTCTTGTTAACAAACTATAGTTTTGGCAAGTCTGTTAGGACATCTACTCTGTGCATGACAAGTAATTTTCCCAACAATTGTTTACAGACAGATTATTTCACTTATAATTCACTGTATCACAATTCCAGTGGGTCAGAAGTTTACATACACGAAGTTGACTGTGCCTTTAAACAGCTTGGAAAATTCCAGAAAATAATGTCATGGCTTTAGAAGCTTCTGATAGGCTAATTGACATCATTTGAGTGTACCTGTGGATGTATTTCAAGGCCTACCTTCAAACTCAGTGCCTCTTTGCTTGACATCATGGGAAAATCAAAAGAAATCAGCCAAGACCACAGAAAAAAAATGGTAGACCTCCACAAGTCTGGTTCATCCTTGGGAGCAATTTCCAAACGCCTGAAGGTACCACGTTCATCTGTACAAACAATAGTACGCAAGTATAAACACCATGGGACCATGCAGTTGTCATACCGCTCAGGAAGTAGATGCGTTCTGTCTCCTAGAGATGAACGTACTTTGGTGCAAAAAGTGCAAATCAATCCCAGAACAACAGCAAAGGACCTTGTGAATGCTGGAGGAAACAGGTACAAAAGTATGTATATCCACAGTAAAACGAGTCCTATATCAACATAACCTGAAAGGCCGCTCAGCAGAAGAAGAAGAAGCCACTGCTCCAAAACCGCCATAAAAAAGCCAGACTACAGTTTGCAACTGCACATGAGGACAAAGATCGTACTTTTTGGAGAAATGTCCTCTGGTCTGATGAAACAAAAATAGAACTTTTGGGCCATAATGACCATCGATATGTTTGGAGGAAAAAGGGGAAGCCTTGCAAGCCGAAGAACACCATCCCAACCGTGAAGCACGGGGGGTGGCAGCATCATGCTGTAGGGGTGCTTTGCTGCAGGAGGGACTGGTGCACTTCACAAAATAGATGGCATCATGAGGAAGGAAAATTGTGGATATATTGAAGAACATCTCAAGACATCAGTCAGGAAGTTAAAGCTTGGTCGCAAATGGGTCTTCCAAATGGACAATGACCCCAAGCATACTTCCAAAGTTGTGGCAAAATGGCTTAAGGACATCAATGTCAAGGTTTTGGAGTGGCTATCACAAAGCCCTGACCTCAATCCTATAGAAAATGTGTGGGCAGAACTGAAAAAGCGTGTGCGAGCAAGGAGGCCTACAAACCTGACTCAGTTACACCAGCTCTGTCAGGAGGAATGGGCCAAAATTCACCCAACTTATTGTTCGAAGCTACCTGAAACGATTGACCCAAGTTAAACAATTTAAAGGCAATACTACCAAATACTAACTGAGTGTATGTAAACTTCTGACCCACTGGGAATGTGATGAAAAAAATAAAAGCTGAAAGAAATCATTATCTGTACTATTATTCTGACATTTCACATTCTTAAAATAAAGTGGTGATCCTAACTGACCTAAGACGGGGAATTTTTACTAGGATTAAATGTCAGGAATTGTGAAAAACTGAGTTTAAATGTATTTGGCTGAGGTGTATGTAAACATCCGACTTCAACTGTAGGTGCAGGAGCTCCACAATACGTTTGAGCTAATATTCTATAAGAGGAACAGGAGCTCAAGCAATAGAACATTTGAGGTGCCGGTACTCAGCTCCGGTGAGCTCCTGCCCAAGTCAAGCACTGCTTCTTATCCCTTGCGCAAATAGCCTACAGCTGTGTCTGTTTCCCGAGCTCACTGGCAGAAACTGAGGGCCCAGAATATTTTATACAATGTTGCAAGTTCGTTAGTGCAAGCTTTGGGCAGGACACAAGTTAATAGTTGATACAATGTTTCAAGTTTGTTGCAGACAAGCCATGTGTAGCCAATGTGATTTAAAGGATTAATTATTTTTTAAATCAGGATTTTTCTACCTGCAGGCTGCAATGTTTTTATTTGTTGGCTTTGTGTAGGCTATTTTTACATAGTTGGCAATGGAAATAGAAGTTACTTTTTAGGTTTGTATAATTTTCATTTAGATTTGGATAGAATTCTGATTAACCACATGACAATGATTTTGAGATATGAAGACGTTATTATTAATTAAATGAAACAGTTTCAAGAAAATGTGCAAATGAAAACGATAACTTGCACGCAGATCAGTAGAAATCGTAAGATAAATTGGCATTTCACATGAGAAAGGTTGCCGACTCCTCGTGTAGCCTATTACCGGCAACTTGAGGAGAGTAATGGCAGAATCTGTGAAAACCAGCAGGAGCGGGAGGAGAATAGTTGGGTCAGGTTAAGGTTTTTTCCTTCTGGTTATTTAGATCTCTGGCGCACTTTTGAGGCATCGAACCGTAAGCTTTTTTATTTATTTTATTTTATTTAACCTTTATTTAACCAGGTAAGCCAGTTGAGAACAAGTTCTCATTTACAACTGCGACCTGGCCAAGATAAAGCAAAGCAGTGCGGAAAAAACAACTACAACAACACAGAGTTACATATGGAATAAACAAAACGTACAGTCAATAACACAATAGAAAATCTACATACAGTGTGTGCAAATGTAGTAAGTTATGGAGGTAAGGCAATAAATAGGCCATAGTGCAAAATAATTACAATTATAATTTAGTGTTAACACTGGAGTGATAGATGTGCAGAAGAAGATGTGCAAATAGAGATACTGGGGTGCAAATGACCAAAATAAATTACAATGTAAATAACAATATGGGGATGAGGTAGTTGGGTGGGCTAATTACAGATGGGCTGTGTACAGGTGCAGTGATCGGTAAGCTGCTCTGACAACTGACGCTTAAAGACAGTGAGGGAGATAAGCGTCTCCAGCTTCAGAGATTTTAGCAGTTCGTTCCAGTCACTTGCAGCAGAGAACTGGAAGGAATGGCGACCAAAGGAGGTGTTGGCTTTGGGGATGACCAGTGAGATATACCTGCTGGAACGCATACTACGGGTGGGTGTTGCTATGGTGACCAATGAGCTAAGATATGGCGGGGATTTGCCTAGAAGGGCTTTATAGATGACCTGGAGCCAGTGGGTTTGGCGACGAATATGTAGTGAGGGCCAGCCAACGAGAGCGTACAGGTCACAATGGTGGGTAGTATATGGGGCTTTGGTGACAAAACGGATGGCACTGTGATAGACTACATCCAATTTGCTGAGTAGAGTGTTGGAAGCTATTTTGTAAATGATATCGCCGAAGTCAAGGATCCCACTCCCGAGTGGCGCAGTGGTCTAAGGCACTGTATTGCAGTGCTAGCTGTGCCACTAGAGATCCTGGTTCGAATCCAGGCTCTGTCGTAGCCGGCTGTGACCGGGAGACCCATGGGGCGGCGCACAATTGGCCCAGCGTCGTCCAGGGTAGGGGAGGGAATGGCCGGCAGGGATGTAGCTCAGTTGGTACAGCATGGCGTTTGCAACGCCAGGGTTGTGGGTTCGATTCCCACGGGGGGCCAGTATGAAAAATAAAAAAATAATGTATGCACTCACTAACTAAGTCGCTCTGGATAATATAATATAATATGCCATTTAGCAGATGCTTTTATCCAAAGCGACTTACAGTCATGTGTGCATACATTTTTACGTATGGGTGGTCCCGGGGATCGAACCCACTAAGAGCTGGATAAGAGCGTCTGCTAAATGACGTAAATTAAAAAAAATTAAATGGTAGGATAGTCAGTTTTACGAGGGCATGTTTAGCAGCATGAGTGAAGGAGGCTTTGTGGCGAAATAGGAAGCCGATTCTAGATTTAACTTTGGATTGGAGATGCTTAATGTGAGTCTGGAAGGAGAGTTTACAGTCTAACCAGACACCTAGGTATTTGTAGTTGTCCACATATTCTAAGTCAGAGCCGCCGAGAGTAGTGATTCTAGTCAGGCAGGCGGGTGCAAGCAGCGTTCGATTGAAGAGCATGCATTTAGTTTTACTAGCGTTTAGGAGCAGTTGGAGGCCACGGAAGGAGTGTTGTATGGCATTGAAGCTCATTTGGAGGTTTGTTAACACAGTGTCCAATGAAGGGCCAGATGTATACAAAATGGTGTCGTCTGCGTAGAGGTGGATCTGAGAGTCACCAGCAGCAAGAGCGACATCATTGATATACACAGAGAATAGAGTCGGCCCGAGATTTGAACCCTGTGGCACCCCCATAGAGACTGCCAGAGGCCCAGACAACAGGCCCTCCGATTTGACACATTGAACTCTATCTGAGAAGTAGTTGGTGAACAAGGCGAGGCAGTCATTTGAGAAACCAAGGCTATTAAGTCTGCTAATAAGAATGCAGTGATTGACAGAGTCAAAAGCCTTGGCCAGGTCGATGAAGACGGCTGCACAGTACTGTCTTTTATCGATCACGGTTATTATATCGTTTAGGACCTTGAGCGTGGCTGAGGTACACCCATGACCAGCTCTGAAACCAGATTGCATAGCGGAGAAGGTACGGTGGGATTCTAAATGGTCGGTGATCTGTTTGTTAACTTGGCTTTCAATTACTTTCGAAAGGCAGGGCAGGATGGATATGGGTCTGTAACAGTTTGGATCTAGAGTGTCACCCCCTTTGAAGAGGGGGATGACCACGGCAGCTTTCCAATCTCTGGGGATCTCAGACGATACGAAAGAGACGTTGAACTGGCTGGTGATAGGGGTTGCGACAATTTCGGCGGCTAATTTTAGAAAGAAAGGGTTGTTGAAATGTTCGATTATCGTAGATTTATCGGTAGTGACAGTGTTTCCTGCCTCAGTGCAGTGGACAGCTGGGAGGAGGTGCTCTTATTCTCCATGGACTTTACAGTGTCGCAAAACTTTTTGGTGTTAGTGCTACAGGATGCAAATTTCTCTTTGAAAAAGTTAGCCTTTGCTTTCCTAACTGATTGTGTATATTGGTTCCTGACTTCCCTGAAAAGTTGCATATCGCTGGGGCTGTTCGATGCTAATGCCGTACGCCACAGGATGTTTTTGTGCTGGTCAAGGGCAGTCAAGTCTGGGGTGAACTAGGGGCTATATCTGTTCTTAGTTCTGAATTTCTTGAATGGGGCATGCTTATTTAAGATGGAGAGGAAAGCACTTTTAAAGAACAACCAGGCATCCTCTACTGACGGAATGAGGTCAATATCCATCCAGGATACACGGGCCACGTCAATTAGAAAGGCCTGCTCGCTGAAGTGTTTCAGGGAGCGTTTGACAGTGATGAGGGGTGGTGGCTTGACCGCGGACCCATTACGGACGCAGGCAATGAGGCAGTGATCGCTGAGATCCTGGTTGAAGACAGCGGAGGTGTATTTAGAGGGTAAATTAGTCAGGATGATATCTAAGAGGGTGCCCATGTTTACGGATTTAGGGTTGTACCTGGTAGGTTCCTTGATAATTTGTGTGAGATTGAGGGCATCTAGTTTAGATTGTAGGATGGCCGGGGTGTTAAGCATATCCCAGTTTAGGTCACCAAGCAATACGAACTCTGAGGATAGATGGGGGGCAATCAATTCACATATGGTGTTCAGGGCACAGCTGGGGGCTGAGGGGGGTCTGTAGCAAGCGGCAACAGTGAGAGACTTATTTCTGGAAAGGTGGATTTTTAGAAGTAGAAGCTCAAACTGTTTGGGCACAGACCTGGATAGTATCAGACAAGCTCAATGCACATAGTTGATTTAATGAAAACACATAGGGTGTGTCTAAAAATTTGGAGCAATCGATTGGTCGAAAGAACAGACGACTTTTGGTCGACCAAGATTTTTTTTCAGTCGGGGACAGCCCTAATTCAAATACAGAACCCCACACTTTATATAATTGATCATAGAAAATCATTAAATGAAATCAAGCCTTATTAGTCTGTTTGTAGGGCTAGTTGACTCACAGGAGATCATGAGGTAGTCCTCCGAGGTACTCTTCTCATCGTCCTCATCCTCGTCAGTCTGCAGAGAGACAGCCTCCACCTCCACCGGCAGCTCCTCGTGGGCCTGGATCACAGTCTCCTCCTCCCCCACCTCCTCCCCAACCATCACCTCCTGGTCCAAGCCCTCCACCCCATCCTCCTCCTGGTGCTCCACAAAAAGCTGGTCTGGCATGTGGTGGTGGTGGTGGTGGACTGAGCCCTGGATGAGGTCTGAGGTTAGAACATGGTGGTGGTGGTGAGAGTCCAGAGCCTCCTCGATGGCCACTTCGGCCCCCAGCAAGTGCTCGTGGCTGATATCAGGGCCTTCAATCACCTCAGTCTCTAGATACTCCTCTAGGACCTCTACCTCTTCCTCAAGGCCCTCGACTTCCACCTCCGCCTCCAGGCCCTCAACCTCCAGGCCTTCAACCACATCCGTCTCGAGGCTCTCGACCATCTGTCTCTCCAGCTCCACCACCCCCGCTCCAAAGCCTTCCACCTCCACCTCCACCTCCGACTCGAGGCCCTGCACCTCCAGGCCGTGCTCCAGCAGGATGCCTTCGTCCGTCATGATGTCAGACAGGAGCATGCCCTCAGGCACAGACACCACAATGTGATCCCCATCGATGTGGGCCAGGCCCCTCATTCCTGCCACTGTACAGGGAAACAGTACGAGGGGGAATATTATTACAGGAATGTTTTTCCACTGCAGCCCTGGTTTGTCCTGAGGCTTTTCCAGGCTTTCCTCTTAGTGGAAAAGCACAAAGAAAAAGTACTAAGATACAGCTACACAAGACATTGCTGTAGAGTGGTCAGCATCTACAGTGGTGTGAAAAAGTGTTTGCCCCCTTCCTGATTTCTTATTTGTTTGCATGTTTGTCACACTTAAATGTTTCAGATCATCAAACAAATTTAAATATTAGTCAAAGATAACACAAGTAAACACAAAATGCAGTTTTGAAATGAAGGTTGTTATTATTAAGGGAAAACAAAATCCAAACCCACATGGCCCTTTGTGAAAAAGTGATTGCCCCCTACAACCTAATAACTGGTTGGGCCACCCTTAGCAGCAACAACTGCAATCAAGCGTTTGCATAGCCCAATGCCTCATGCAAAGTTACAGTGGTGTGAAAAAGTGTTTGCCCCCTTCCTGATTTCTTATTTGTTTGCATGTTTGTCACACTTAAATGTTTCAGATCATCAAACAAATGTAAATATTAGTCAAAGATAACATAAGTAAACACAAAATGCAGTTTTGAAATGAAGGTTGTTATTATTAAGGGAAAACAAAATCCAAACCTACATGGCCCTGTGTGAAAAATTGTTTGCCCCCCTGTTAAAACAACTCAACTGTGGTTTATCACACCTGAGTTCAATTCCTCTAGCCACACCCAGGCCTGATTACTGCCACACCTGTTCTCAATCAAGGAATCACTTAAATAGGACCTGCCTGACAAAGTGAAGTAGACCAAAAGATCCTCAAAAGCTAGACATCATGCCGAGATCCAAAGAAATTCAGGAACAAATGAGAAAGAAAGTAATTGAAATCCATCAGTCTGGAAAATGTTATTAAGCCATTTCTAAAGCTTTGGGACTCCAGCGAACCACAGTGAGAGCCATTATCCACAAATGGTGAAAACATGGAACAGTGGTGAACCTTCCCAGGAGTGGCTGGCCGACCAAAATTACCCAAAGAGCGCAGCGACGACTCATCCAAGAGGTCACAAAAGACCCCACAACAACATCCAAAGAGCTGCAGGCCTCACTTGCCTCAGTTAAGGTCAGTGTTCATGACTCCACCATAAGAAAGAGAAGAAAACCACTGCTGAGCAAAAAGAACATTAAGGCTCGTCTCATTTTTGCCAGAAAACATATGATGATCCCCAAGACCTTTGGGAAAATACTCTGTGGACTGACGAGACAAAAGTTTAACTTTTTGGAAGGTGTGTGTCCCATTACATCTGGCGTAAAAGTAACACTGCATTTCAGAAAAAGAACATCATACCAACAGTAAAATACAGTGGGGGAAAAAAGTATTTAGTCAGCCACCAATTGTGCAAGTTCTCCCACTTAAAAAGATGAGAGAGGCCTGTAATTTTCATCATAGGTACACGTCAACTATGACAGACAAAATGAGAAAAAAAATTCCAGATAATGGAAGGAGGTTTTCACTCAAAATCTCACAATACATGGCCCCATTCATTCTTTCCTTTACACGGATCAGTCGTCCTGGTCCCTTTGCAGAAAAACAGCCGCAAAGCATGATGTTTCCACCCCCATGCTTCACAGTAGGTATGGTGTTCTTTGGATGCAACTCAGCATTCTTTGTCCTCCAAACACGACGAGTTGAGTTTTTACCAAAAAGTTATATTTTGGTTTCATCTGACCATATGACATTCTCCCAATCCTCTTCTGGATCATCCAAATGCACTCTAGCAAACTTCAGACGGGCCTGGACATGTACTGGCTTAAGCATGGGGACACGTCTGGCACTGCAGGTCCCTGGCGGCGTAGTGTGTTACTGATGGTAGGCTTTGTTACTTTGGTCCCAGCTCTCTGCAGGTCATTCACTAGGTCCCCCCGTGTGGTTCTGGGATTTTTGCTCACCGTTCTTGTGATCATTTTGACCCCACGGGGTGAGATCTTGCGTGGAGCCCCAGATCGAGGGAGATTATCAGTGGTCTTGTATGTCTTCCATTTCCTAATAATTGCTCTCACAGTTGATTTCTTCAAACCAAGCTGCTTACCTATTGCAGATTCAGTCTTCCCAGCCTGGTGCAGGTCTACAATTGTGTTTCTGGTGTCCTTTGACAGCTCTTTGGTCTTGGCCATAGTGGATTTTGGAGTGTGACTGTTTGAGGTTGTGGACAGGTGTCTTTTATACTGATAACAAGTTCAAACAGGTGCCATTAATACAGGTAACGAGTGGAGGACAGAGGAGCCTCTTAAAGAAGTTACAGGTCTGTGAGAGCCAGAAATCTTGCTTGTTTGTAGGTGACCAAATACTTATTTTCCACCATAATTTGCAAATAAATTCATTAAAAATCCTACAATGTGATTTTCTGGAGAGAAAAAATTCTCCATTTGTCTGTCATAGTTGATGTGACCCTTGACTTTTTCCACTTCGCCCTGGCTGTTCCTGGTCGGGAGAGGTTGTGTTTTCTCTAGCAGGAGGTAAGCTTGGCTTCTTATATGGTGTTGAGTAAAGCTTAAACCATGTATTTAGATTGTAGTTAGGTATTGTAGGTAGTTTACTTAGGTAGTTATTGTAGGTTATTGTAGGTAATTATTGTAGGTAAGTATTGTATTCGGCGGAGCCCGGCGAAGCACGAGGCTAGCTAACCCACTACCTGGACCAACAAAGCTAGCTAGCTAGCGGGTAGCTACTGGTAACTTTTAGCAACTGTGGATAGTTGTTTCCAATGTTATTTCACACTTAAGAGTACCTGTAATTAAGCCAGCTAGCTACCTACCATTCAGCTGTTTTTCTAACCTCATTATCCGAGGCATTAACGTTAGGTGGTTGGTGGCTGCTGTACTTAATTACAGCTACTGATTGCAGTCTGCCACCCAGACAGCTGGCGTCGGGTAAGTTTGGCTTTATACATAGCTTGGGCTTTGTCGAGTAAGGCTTAAACTATGTATTTAGATTGTAGTTAGGTATTATAGGTAGGCATCGTGGGCTGTATATTATTAGGTATTATAGGTAGGCATCGTGGGCTGTTGTGGGTAGTTATTGTAGGTTAGCATTGTATTCGGCGGTGCCGGGTGTAGCACAAAGCTAGCTAGCTAACTCACCTCCTGGACTAGCTGGCGAGTAGCTATTAGCAACGGTAGCAACTAAATACAATATCCTTTTAGCCAGCTACATTTGTTCGCAGCGCCGCCGTTATTCAAACAAAGTCAACACAGCAGCCATTGCTAGCTAGCCAACATGACCAGCTAGCTGTACTGTAGCAGCTAAATACAATATAGTTGTGCTAGCTAGCCAACGTTTAATTATTGCTGCGTTATGAAAGGAACTAGACACGGACACGAATTATCTGTTTAGTGTGTTAACACACTATTGGTAGTTTGTTGTAACCAAGTATTGGTGCTAAACTGTGTGTTATTGGATGCTAGCATGCTAGTTAGCTATAGCGTCATAGTTAGCTAGCTGAATAAAGTAAGTTGAGTCTATTCCTTGAAACATTGAACCGCTGTAGTTCACAACAATTCTAATTTCTAAAGTGGAAGTTGGGAGAGTTTTATTCGGGTGGTTCAGTGAAACAATTATAGTTTCTGAGGTGAAGTTGGGAGAGTTATATTTGGGAGTTTTGGTTTTTACTCTCTCCTTTCCCAGATGTTTAGTTCATTTCATTCCGATCTCCTCTGCATTATTGTAGCCATTTGCTACAGCCTGTCAACTATGCCTCTGCCTATCCCTGTTCTCTCCTCTCCGCACAGGCTACACAAACGCCTCACACCGCGTGGCTGCTGCCTCTCTAACCTGGTGGTCCCTGCACGCACCCCACACCTGGAGTTCCAGGTCTCAGGCAGCCTCTGGAACTGCCGTTCGGCTGCCAACAAGGCTGACTTCATCCCAGCCTATGCTACCCTCCAGTCCCTCGACTTCCTGGCGCTGACGGAAACATGGATTACCACTGAAAACACTGCTACTCCTACTGCTCTCTCCTCGTCTGACCATGTGTTCTCGCATACCCCGAGAGCATCTGGTCAGAGGGGTGGTGGCACAGGAATCCTCATCTCTTCCAAGTGGACATTCTCAATTTTTCCCCTAACCCATCTGTCTATCTCCTCATTTAAATTCCATGCTGTCACAGTCACTAGCCCATTTAAGCTTAATATCCTTGTCATCTATCGCCCTCCAGGTTCCCTTGGAGAGTTCATCAATGAGCTTGACGCCTTGATAAGTTCCTTTCCTGAGGATGGCTCACCCCTCACAGTTTTGGGGGATTTCAACCTCCCTACGTCTACATTTGACTCATTTCTCTCTGCCTCCTTCTTTCCACTCCTCTCCTCTTTTGACCTCACCCTCTCACCGTCCCCCCCTACTCACAAGGCAGGCAATACGCTTGACCTCATCTTTACTAGATGCTGCTCTTCTACTAATCTCACTGCAACTCCCCTCCATGTCTCCGACCACTACTTTGTATCCTTTTCTCTCTCGCTCTCCTCCAACACTACTCACTCTGCCCCTACACAGATGGTAATGCGCCGCCGCAACCTTCGCTCTCTCTCTCCCACTACTCTCTCCTCTTCCATCCTATCATCTCTTCCCTCTGCTCAATCCTTCTCCCTCCAATCTCCTGATTCTGCCTCCTCAACCCTCCTCTCCTCCCTTTCTGCATCCTTTGACTCTCTGTGTCCCCTATCCTCCCGGCCGGCTCGGTCCTCCCCTCCAGCTCCGTGGCTTGATGACTCATTGCGAGCTCACAGAACAGAGCTCCGGGCAGCGGAGCGGAAATGGAAGAAAACTAAACTCCCTGCCGACCTGGCATCTTCTGCCGAAAGGCCAACGTGAGACAAGAAAAAGGCCAAGCAAGAGTGAAGAGAAAAAGAGGGATAGAGAGGGAAAAGGAGAAGCACGGAGGGAAAGAAGGAAAACCAAAAAAAAAAAGAAAAAAAAAAACAAAAAAAACGAAC